TTCCTGTCTCCCTGGTCATGGGACATTAACACATGGTGACTATTATCTCCCTAGATGCTTTGAAATGACTACCTCCTGTGACTACAGGCATCACATAGACTGGGTGATGTGGGGTCAAAGATGTGATCAAGAGTCACATCTCCTTGGGGAGTAGAATCAGGCAATCATTAGCCCCTCTCCAGGCTTCCAAGTGTGGTGGAGGGTCAGAGGTTGATAGATTACAGCACTGCCACGGACTCCTGTCTAGTCATGAGCAGATCACAGCACCTCTCTGAAGCCCATTTCCCTATTCATCAAAGGAGGCAATGATTCCTTCTCACTCAGCTTCCTTCATGAGGAGGAGTGAGTGAAACAAGGGGTGTGACAGCACTTTGTTGAGGATGACATCTGATATCAATGTGAAGGTTGTTGTGTTGACCATCACCCTGGTCCACCCAGTCTGTGATTTAGTCCTGGATGGAGTCCTAATCTCTGTTTCAATGGGTTCAGTATGTTTTCTTAAACTGGAATCTCTCCACTCAATCTGATCATTCTGGGAGGACTCACCCCAAAAGACCAGCACCAGATGCCCTGCCCTTTCTCTGGAAAGCTGCCCTGCCCTTCTCTCAGCAACAAAGAAGGAAAAGGAACAAGAAAGCAGTAGACAGGATGAGATGCTGAGACCATGACAGAGATGTCCTGGGCAAGCCCATAGATCTTGGTTAACATAAACCCATCAGACCTTCCTAAATGTCTCACCACCTGCCTGAGGATCACTATTTTCCTGGTGTTTGGTTTAGCTGGGGACTCTTGTACTGACAGAAGTGGGCTCTAAAATTTCTTAGAAACTCATGGGAGTTTGTCTCCCCCCAGTCAACTGCAAGTCTGCTCCCCTGGCCCATGGCAGGGTCTCAGCAAAGGGCCATGAGGTTCCAAAATCCCACATGGAGACTTGGAGTCATCGGCCACGATGTCGACTCACGGAGAGCAGCAGCGTCAAGGAAAGAGGTCATAACAGGGAGATCAGCTTGAGGTCTGGTCCTCCTAGCTCCCGGCCTGAGCAGCCTCAGATTCCTCAGAGGTAAAATGAGGAGCCTGAACTGAGTCAATCGCCCTCTTCTTCATCCTGATATCAGGAGGTCTGCCTTCATCTAGTTCTTGACAGAGTCTCTGACCTCCCAACAACCTAAGAGCCCACCCTACCTGTGCCCCCCGCCCCAAAACTCCACTAGTGTTCACCCACTAACCCTAGATACCTCGGGGCGGGGGTCAAGGGTTTAAGCATCACATGAATACTAATGAATTAGTCACACGGCTAACGTTTAACTAGACCTACCTACCCCTCCAGGGCTCAGAATATTTTAAGCTTGTTACAGATTACAGGGCTCCAGAAGGAAAGTAGAAAATTCTGAGGCGAAAAACCTTTTTCCTATTGATTCATGGCTCATAAAATAGGGTGAAAGTGAAAGTTGCGACCCCATGGACAATACAGTCCATGGAATTCTCCAGGCCAGAATACTGGAGTGGGTAGCCTTTCCCTTCTCCAGGGGGTCTTCCCAATCCAGGGATTGAACCCAGGTCTCTCACACTGCAGGCGGATTCTTTACCAGCTAAGGATAGGGTGCTTGTCATAAGAACCACCTAAGCATGCTTAAAATGCTGAAAATGTAGATTCCTGGGCTCTGCCAGCAGATACTGGTCCTGCAGGCCTGAGTAAGGGATGTGGGAATCTGCAGTTCACAAGAGCACTGATGATTCTGCTTGCAGGGTCTATGAGAACTGCTTGGGTATGCGCCTGCTGTTGGGGGAGGGCAGCCCAGGGCACCTGGACCTTGTGACAGATGCATAATTTTGTTCTACCTGCATAACATGGGGTGTGACTCGGCTGCTCTCTGAGGCCGCATGTAGTTTGGGGATTGAGTCCTCAGGCCTGACGCATAGAGCCTCAGTTTGAATCTGTTGTACTGAGTTGCTTCAGTCATATCCAACACTTTGTGACCTTATGGACAGTGGTCTGTCTGTGGGATTCAGGCAAGAATGCTGAAACGGGTTGCCATTTCCTTCTCCAGGGGATCTTCCTGATCCAGGGATCGACCCTATGTCTCCCGCACTGGCAGGCGGGTTCTTTACCACTAGCACCACCTGGGAAGCCCTCAAATCTGGCTTCTGTTAACAAAACAAACTAACCTTAGCTAGACTGACCAAGAGTTAAGAGTGATGACTCAAATTACTAGAACTAGGAATGAGAGAGGGGACACATGCATACTAAGTCGCTTCAGTCATGTTTGACTCTGTGCGACCCTATGGACTGTAGCCTGCCAGGCTCCTCTGTCCATACAATTCTCCAGGAAAGATACTAGAGTGCGTTGCCATGCCTTCATCCAGGGGATCTTCCTGACCCAGGGATGGAACCCATGTCTCTTATGTCTCCTGCATTGGTAGATGGGTTCTTTACCACTAGTGCCACCTGAGAAGCCTGAAAGAGGGGATAACTTTACATAAATAAGAGGGATTACAAGAAAATGATCACATGATCAATTGTATACACTAACAAATTAGCTAACCTAAATGAAACAAATTCAGAAAGATATAAACTATACACACTACTATACAAAATAGATAACCAACAAGGACCTACTTTATAGCACAGGGAACTATACTCAATATTTTGTAATAATCTATAAGGGGAAGGAATCTAAAAAGGAATATACTTATATACATGAATCACTGTGGTGTACACCTGAAACTAATATACAATATTGTAAATCAACTGTATTTCAATTAAAAAAAAATTAAGATCCTAAAAGAAAAGATTTAAATTACCAAAGCTGACTCCAGAAGAAACAGAAAATCTAAACAGATCTACAATGAGTAAAGAGATTGGATTATTAATAATTTAAAAAAAAACACCTTACCACAAAGAAAAGCCTAGGATCAGATGGCTTTATTGATGAGTTTTACCAAATGTTTAAAGAACAATGAACACCAATACTTTATAAACTCTTCCAAAACACAGGGGAGGAGGGAAAACTTTCCAACTCATTTTATAAGGCCAGTATTACTCTGATACCAAAACTGGACAAAAATATCACAAGGAAACTACAGATCAATACCCCTTGTAAATATGAATACAGAATTCTTCCTCAAAATACTAGCAAACCTAATCTAGCAACATATAAAAAGATTATACACCATGACCACAACAACCAATTGGGGTTTATCCTTGAAATGCAAGGTTGACTCAACGTCTGAACATCAATCAACATAATATACCATATTAATAGAATAAAGGACAAATCTGGGCTCTGCCACATACTAGTTGTGTTTCCTAAGGTACTTAACCTTAGGAAAGTACCTTGGGCCCTTTAAACAAGTTTCTCCATCTGTAAAAGAGAGACTGTGAAACTGATTGCTTAGTATTGTTATGAGAATGGAATTGTGCACACAGCATGTGCTCAATAAATGGTCATCTAACCCTAAGCACATCATCATAAGGAGACAGTCCACTGGGAGGGGCCTAGTTTATCTGCTCAGGTGTTTATTCCCTGATCACTTTTCAGATGAAGAGACTGGGGTAGAAGGGCTGACATGGTCTGCTCACCTGGATGGTAAACACCACTAACACTCCTACCCCTGTCTCCAAACCTTTGTTTCTATGCCAGCCCTACCTGGAATGACCATCTAAACCTCTTCAGTTCAGTTCAGTTGAGTTGCTCAGTCGTGTTACTTTGCGACCCCATGAATCCCAGCATGCCAGGCCTCCCTGTCCATCACCAACTCCCGGAGTTTACTCAAACTCATGCCCATCGAGTCGGTGATGTCATCCAGCCATCTCATCCTCTGTCGTTCCCTTCTCCTCCTGCCCCCAATCCCCCCCAGCATCAGGGTCTTTTCCAATGAGTCAACTCTTCGCATCAGTTGGCCAAAGTACTGGAGTTTCAGCTTCAGCATCAATCCTTCCAATGAACACCCAGGACTGATCTCCTTTAGGATGGACTGGTTGGATCTCCTTGCAGTCCAAGGGATGCTCAAGAGTCTTCTCCAACACCACAGTTCAAAAGTATCAATTTTCCGGCACTCAGCTTTCTTCAGAGTCCAACTCTCACATCCATACATGATCACTGGAAAAACCATAGCCTTGACTAGACAGACCTTTGTTGGCAAAGTAATGTCTCTGCTTTTTAATATGCTATCTAGGTTGGTCATAACTTTCCTTCCAAGGAGTAAGCGTCTTTTAATTTCATGGCTGCAATCACCATCTGCAGTGATTTTGGAGCCCAGAAAAATAAAGTCAGCCACTGTTTCCACTGTTTCCCCATCTATTTCCCATGAGGTGATGGGACCAGATGCCATGATCTTAGTTTTCTGAATGTTGAGCTTTAAGCCAACTTTTTCACTCTCCTCTTTCACTTTCATCAAGAGGCTCTTTAGTTCTTCAGTTTCTGCCATAAGGGTGGTGTCATTTAAACCTCTTAGGCCAGTGCAAATCCTCCTCAGCTCAAACCCCACACTCACACGGCCTTCCTCATACATACTGACCTTTCTCCCTTCTCCAAGTGCCCAGTGTGTGTGTGTGTGTGTGTGTGTGTGTGTGTGTGTGTGTGTAGCGCTCAGTTGTGTCTGACTCTTTGCGACCTATTGGACTGTAGCCCACCAGGTTTCTCTGTCCATGGAATTTTCCACACAAGAATTTTTCACTGGAGTGGCCTGACATTTCCTACGCAGGGATCCATCCCTGGGTCTCCTGCCTCTCCTGCACCGCAGGCAGATTCTTCACCCCTAGAGTCACCTGGGGAGCACCACACACTTTATTCAAAAGCTGACTGACTCCTCCTCTACCTCTTTCTAGTTTACGACATTGAGGATAAAGCACTTCACTTCTCTGAGCCTGGGTCCGCAAAAGGAAAACGCTGTGTCGCAAAGGACAAGAGGGACCCAGGAAGGGCGCGGCGGGGGACCAACCGGAAGTCAGAACTATCTGCTTCCAAAGCCGGAAGCTGCCGCCGGCAGCCCACACTCACTTGGCCGGGTGGAAGATGGCGCTCATCTCCTCCGCCAGGTGCCTCCGGAGGATGTGCTTTCCGCTGGGGATGCCCAGGGCGGTGGCCATGGCCTCAGCGTTGAACGTGGGTTCCAGCACCAGCACTGCACCGTGGACGCCACTGTTGGTCAGGTTGTCTGCGTACTCCTGAGGGCAAGGCACGAGGCTGGTGAGCCTGGGGGGCCACCCTGCTGGCCTGAGGGTGGGGATACCCCAGGGGGGATATGTCCTCAAAAGCAAGGGCTTGCCCCCCGCCCCCCGGGATTAGTGCATTTAATCCTGAGGGATTAAAAAACCCTCACTCTTTTTAGGGCCTTGAGAATAGCGACTGGGTTATTTTGTCACTGATTAGACCCCAGACCTAGGCAGGCAGCCCATAAATGCTTGTTGAGGGAGAAGACTGCTGGCTGTGGAGTCAACCCCCCACTGGCTTCAGAGAGGATGACTCAGCATCCGCACCCTCACTATGGGAGGGGAAGGGGTGGGCAGGGGGAGTAGTTCTGGCCTTTTGAGTGACAGGAGGCAGGCTGTTGTTGCAGGCCTAGGAAACAATGCCCAGCCCACACTTAAAGATGGATACTGAATTTGCACACAGACTGGCATGGGATTTGCGAATGCCCAAGAGCCACCTCTCCCACGTCCGCCATCACCCCTCACCTTCAAGTCAATGTCTCGCACCCACTTGAGCACCCGCTGGTTGGTCCAGACCACGGGGTCTATGTTCTGTGTCTCGCAGCGGGCCCGGCGCTCCTGGAGAGCCTGTGGGGAGGGAGAATGGGTCAGCTGCCGGGGCCGGGGGGGCATGCGGAGATCACACAGGGAGCAAGGGTCCGTGGTGCTGGCAGGGACCTCGGCATGCTGACGCGAGGGATCCTGGCCAGATCATCCACAGCTGCTCTAGCCATGTCAGTCCTTTCCTTCTGGGAAATGGGGAGAAGCCTGCTTCCAGGGATGGAGGAGCCTAGAGGCAGAGCCACCTGCCTGCAGAGTGTGGGGCCAGGTGGGGCCCTTGGCAGCTGCCTAGTTTGTGTAGCCCAGCTCCCATCTGCCTGGTTTGTATAGCCCAGCCCTGCTCACCTGACTTGGAATAGGGGCTCAGTGCATGTCTGTTAAAGAATGCCCCTAAATGAGGCTGCCTATTTCCACACTTCACTGTCATGTTCTTCCCACGCCTCATCTCCTGTACCAGACTGTGGCTCACTGGGGGCCAGGGCCTGTGTCCTCATCACTTCCTGTGCCCAGGGCTCTGACTTGGGTGTTTGAGAAGGCCTAAAAGCCCTCCCTTCAGTCCGTCTCCCCCTGACCCTGAACTACTTGTGCTATGACAGTGCTCTGAGAAGAGTAGGCCGTTTACACTCATCCCCGGCAGCCCAGGGCCCCTCCCTTGGGGGAGCAGCTGGGGAGATGTACTAGGTTTGGGGGAAGCTGAAGCAAACACCCTGGGCTCTCTGGCTTGGCAGTGATCAGAACAAGGGGCACTCAGAGTCCAAACTCTACAATGTGCCTCACAACCTCCTGGTTACCTGTCAGCATCCCCATTCACTCCCCCACCTCAAACCCAGGACAGAACCACACGGGACTCTCAGTTCTGCTGCTGCAGATCTATCCTCTGGGTCTTAGTCTATGCTATTCCCTTGCTGGATTGCTTTTCCCCTCATACCTTCTATTGACTGATACCTAGAATTCCTCCCTTCAGGTCTCAGTTTAGCTGTTACTATTGCTGGAAAGGCTTCTCTTGTCCTTCTGAAAGCTTTTCCTCTGAGTTTTCATAAAACCCCACCCCCACCCCTCATTGGGACAACCTTCCATGATGTTGTGGCCACAAGTATCTTTGTGGTTGCCTGGAGGATGAGTGTTTCCCTTTTCCCCTGAATTGAGCACAGGGTCTGGTCCATTCCCCAATAAGCAGTTGTTGAAAGGAGGGAGGGAGAAAGAAAGGCATGGATGCGTGGATTGATAGACAGGTGGATGGATGGATGGAGAGGTGTGGATGGGCAGAGAGTGGATGCATGAAATGATGGACAGTGGATGGATGGATGGAGAGATGTGAGGATGGGCAGATGGTTGGATGGACAGATAACAGATGCCAGAAGGGAAAGCAGGGCTGCAGAAGGTGCCCTGAACCCTGGTTCTCACCTCCCTGCTGAAGTTGACTTGGTAGAGCAGCTCGATTCCCAGCAGGATGCTGACCTGGTGGAACTTCTTGGACACATTCAAGTGCTTCTCCAGGTCCCGCTTCATCAGGGAGTTCAGCATCCGCCCATCGACCAGGTGGTTTTGGAAGGCCTGGGAGTACTGGGACAGGCCGATGTCGTTGAGCCAGGCCTTGGCCACCCAGTGATGGTCCAGGTCAGCGGCTTTGGACAGGCTGGCGAGGAGAGACACAGCCAGAGAGAGGGATGGGTGGGGAAAGGTGGCAGAAACAGAGAGACAGGGAGAAATGGGGCAGAGATGACCAGAGAGAGAAGCAAAACAACGGGGTTGGGGGACCAAGAAAGTCACAGAGATAGATAGGAACAGTGATGGAGTGGAGAGACAGAGAGAAAGACAGAGGGCAGCAAGGGGAGAGGCAGATGCAGGGGAGAGAGGAGGAGACAGGGAGAGACAAGGGGAGAGAGGGACAGAGACATAGGAGAGAGACAGAGGCACAGAGGGGAGAGATAGACAAGGGAGACAGAGACAGAGGGAGAGACAGAAGCAGGGAGCAAGCCCCAAAGAATAATAAAGAATCAACAGACAGAGGGTGCAGGAAGGAAAGAGACCACATTCAGACACACTTAGAGTGGGAAGGGACAATGACAGCGCCTCGGGAATGAATGCAGCAGTAAGCATCACCTCTGGGGACCGGGTACCTCCCAAAGCCCCGCCCTGCCCCACCTCCATCCCAGAGGCCACTGCAGAATCCCTGAGGCCCAAGAACCTTGGCTGGGGCCAATCTCTCCTTGGACTTTGCCCAGAGTTACAGAGTGGCACGTCTTGGAATCAGATTTAAACCCCAAGTTTTGCTTATTGCAACTCCTCTCCTCACCACCATATCTTAGACTTTCTGTATCCCACACTGAACTTATCCCAGTGCCGAATGTGTGCGTGTATAGTAGGTGCACAAGGAACACTTCCCAAGTGGACAAAAGGATGGTCTCCTCAGATGTTATTCCCCTGTTCACCACATGGTGGCAGCCTTGAAGAAGGAATGAGGACAGTGCCTCCCACTGCGGAAGGACTTTTAAAAAATGACCTGAGGTAATGCCAGGCTTCAAGGGTACCTGAACCGTGAACTTCCAGATGTTCAAGCTGGATTTAGAAAAGGCAGAGGAACCAGAGATCAAATTGCCAACATCCACTGGATCGTCGAAAAAGCAAGAGAGTTCCAGAAAAACATCTATTTCTGCTTTATTGACTGTGCTAAAGCCTTTGACTGTGTGGATCACAAAAACTATGGAAAATTCTTAAAGAGACGGGAATACCAGACCACCTGACCTGCCTCCTGAGAAATCTCTGTATGCAGGTCAAGAAGCAACGGTTAGACCTGGACATGGAACAACAGACTGGTTCCAAATAGGAAAAGGAGTACGTCAAGGCTGTATATTGTCACCCTGCTTATTTCACTTATATGCAGAGTAGCAAAGAACTGACTCATTGGAAAAGACCCTGATGCTGGGAAAGATTGAAGGCAGGAAGAGAAGGGGACAACAGAGGATGAGATGGTTGGATGGCATTATTGACTCAATGGATGTGAGTTTGAGTAAGCTCTGGGAGCTGGTGATGGACAGGGAAGCCTGGCATGCTACAGTCCATGGGGTCACAAAGAGTTGAACACAACTGAGTGACTGAACTGAACTGAATGCTAGGCAGTGAACTGCATTGCTTAAGTGGGAGCCTTGGGGGACCATGAAGGAATCTGGATGTGAAATGGAAATGATGGGCTTATGGAGTGACGCTGCCCCCGCAGCTGGCAGAAGGAGCACCCCAAACCCACTCCTCGCAGGGAGGTGGAGTGGAGACTGTCAGGAGAGCATCCTACTGGCCAAGCTGGAGACCTGGCTGGGATTTTCCACCTGCTCTGACTCAGCTTCCTCCTTTCTCCTCCCCTCTGCTATCTTTGCTGCTGCTGCTAAGTCACTTCAGTCGTGTCCGACTCTGTGCGACCCCATAGACGGCAGCCCACCAGGCTCCCCCATCCCTGGGATTCTCCAGGCAAGAACACTGGAGTGGGTTGCCATTTCCTTCTCCACTCTGCTGTCTCTAGGCACCATCATTTCTCCCCTGAATTCGCCCTCTCGCTGGTCTCCATGCCTCTGGAGCCCCGCTAGTCCCTTCCCTAGGGTGGAGCTAGCGGATCATGCCGTTGCTCCTGCTCGTGTCCTCCACGGCTCCCTGCTTCCTTCCTTCCTTCCAAGAATGTGTATTGAGCTCTGGATCTGGGTAGATGCTGCCTTGTAATGGGCACATCTTCCCTCTTCACCCCTTCCTTTCTCCACCCCCACACTCTCCTGTCTCTGGCTGACATCCATTTCTAGGGCTCTGGATCACATCTGTTAACAGACACTCCCAATTCATAAACTCACCTCCCGAGATCCTAACGGGCTGCCCTCTTGACATCTCCTGGCTGCCACAGGCATCTCAGACTTAACAAGCTCCAGATGAAATGTCCGTCCTGTCTCCCAGTTCCAGGCTCTCACTTGCCCTGCCTCTCCCCTCCCCCACCCTGTCCATTTATCAACCTCTCTGGTCAGCGTATCTGGCCCCTTGCCTCCTTTTCTGGGGTCAAGCCATGGCCACCTCTGACATAGATTTCTGCCTCCTGACTGCCCCCACCCAACCCCCTTGCTCCTTCTAATAATCCATTTCCCCTGTGGGTGCCAGATGGCCTTTTATATATATCCATCAGATCATGTCACCCCTCTACTTAAAACCCTCTCTCAGAGGAACCCTCAGTGTATATTACTAAGTGACAGAGGCCAACCTGAAAAGGCTACACACTGTATAATTCCAACAGTATGACATTCTGGAAGAGGCAAAACTATGGAGACAGCAAAAAGATCAGTGGTTTCCAGGGTCTGAGGGAGAGGGAGGGATGAATAGGTGGAGCACAGAGGATTTCTAGGGAGGTGAAACTTTTCAGTGTTGTATGGTAATGATGGACGCACTCTACTACACGTTTGTCCAAATCCATAGAATATACAGCATGGAGAGTGAACCCTAATGTAAACTCTGGACTTTGGGTAACAATGGTGTGTCAGTTCAACTGAAACAAATGCTCCATCTGGTGGGGGATGATGATAATGGGGGAGGCCATGCATGTGTGAGGGCAAGAGATTTACGTGAAATCTCTTAACTTTCCCTTTGTTTTGCTGTGAAACTAAAACTGCTCTAAAAAATAAAGTCTTTAGAAATGAGGGGGGAAACAAAGACTTTTTTAAACAAGCAGAAATTCAGAGGAATGAACTACAAGAAATGTAAGAGGCATTTCTTCAGGAGGAAAGAAAATATTAATAATAACCACATGGAAATTTGGGCTACACAAAAGAATAAAGAGAACTCCTAAACCTCAACAATACTCCAATACTTTGGCTGCCTGATGTGAAGGGCTGATTCATTGGAAAAGACCCTGATGCTGGGAAAGCTTGAAGGCAGGAGGAGAAGGACAGAGGATGAGATGGTTGGATGGCATCACTGACTCAATGGACATGAGTTTGAGCTAACTCCTGGAGATGGTGAAGGACAGGGAAGTCTGGAGTGCTGTAGTCCATGGATTCGCAAAGAAGTGGACACGACTGAGTGACTTAATAATAGAACTCAACCAAAAAACCAAACAACCTGATTCAGAAATGGGTAAAGGACTCAAAGAGACATTTCTGCAAAGAAGATATAAAGATGATGAATAGGCTCATGGAAAAGTGCTCAGTATCACTAATCATTGTGTGTATGTGCATGTGTGCTTGTATGCTCAGTTGTGTCCGAGTCTTTGTGACCCCTTGGACTGTAGCCTGCCAGGCTCCCCTGTCCATGGAATTTTCCAGGTAAGAATACTTGAGAGGGTTGTCATTTCCTACTCCAGGGGATAATCCTGACCCAGGGACTGAACCCAAGTTACCTTAGGTGTATTCTTTACCACTATGCCACCTAGGAAGCCCTTCACTAATCATTAGGGAAATGCAAACCAAAACTATGATAAAATACCACTTCATACTCATTAGGATGGCCACTATTAAAAAAAAAAAACAAATGTTGGCAAGGGTGTGGAGAAACTGGAACCCTTGTGCACTGTTTGTGAGCACATATAGGGGTACAGTCACTGTGGAAAACAGTATGACAGTTCTGCAGAAAATTAAAAATAGAATTACCATATGTTTCGGCAATTCCACTTTTGCGTATATATCTAAAAGTGTTGAAATTTGGGCCTTTAAAAGATATATCAGCACACCCTGTGTTCATAGCATCACTATTTACAAGAGCTAAAAGGTAGAAGCAACTCAAGTATCCATGGATGGATGAACAGATAAGCAAAATGGGCTTGTATTCAGCCCCAATGGAGTAGTATTCAAACTTAAAAAGGCTGACAGATACTACACACAGATGAATCTTGAGCACATTATGATAATGAAATAAGCCAGTCACAAAAAGACAAATACAATGGGACTCCACTTATGTGAGGAACTTGAGAGTAGTCAGATTCAAAAGTAGAATGATGATTGTTGGCTTACTTGGGGAAGAGGAGAATGGAGAGTTAGTGTTTAATGGGGAAAGTTTCAGTTTTATAAGATGAAAGAGTTATTGGAATGGATGATGGCGATGGCTGCACAACAATGTGAATGTACTTAACACCGCTGAGTGAGTGAGTGAAAGCCCCTCAGTCACGTCCGACTCTTTGCGACCCCCTGGACTATACAGTCCATGGAATTCACCAGGCCAGAATATTGGAGTGGGTAGCCATTCCCTTCTTCAGGAGCTCTTCCCAACCCAGGGATTGAACCCAGGTCTCCCACATTGCAGGAGGATTCTTTACCACCTGAGCCACAAGGGAAGCCCAAGAATACTGGAGTGGGTAGCTTATCCCTTCTCCAGTGGATCTTCCTGACCCAGGAATTGAATCAGAGTCTCCTGCATTGCAGGCAGATTCTTTACCAGCTGAGCTACCAGGGAAGCCGGTAAAGTAACACTGCTGAACTGTACTCTAAAAAATTATTAAGGTGGTACATTTTACGGGTATTTTACCACAATAAAACTTTTTTTTGAAGAAGACTGGAAATGGTAAATTATCTTGGTAAATATTTTCCTTATTTGCCAATCTTAAAAGGTAACGGCCAGTTTAAAAAAAAATAACAATGTATTATGGCATATATGTATGTGTGTGTGTAAATGACAGCAGGAGGAAAAAAGCATGTTATACTACACGCAAAGTTGTATAATATTATTTGAAGATAGTGTTAAGTGTGTATATTGTAAATTATAGAGCAATAATTAAAAATAAAAGAAGTGTAGCTCAATATTCAATGAAAAGTCAGTAACAGAATTCCCTGGTGGTCCAGTGGTTAGGACTCTGTGCTTCCACTGCAGCATGGGCTCAACCCCTGGTCAGTGAACCCCTGTCCCACACACACACATACACACACACACACACAAAGTGGTCAAAAAATAAAAAGTCCATAAAAGAGGAAAAAGGAACAGTAGATTTAAATAAAGAAACTCTCCCATGGTGCCCCTTTGCAGAGATAAAATCAGAAGTCCTCGGGGTGACCTCACAGGGTGCAGGCTCCCCCTCCCTGGGAAGCTGGGAGCACTTCCGGGATGCACTGTGTTTGTCCTCAGATGGTGGGGGTCCCTGCCTCTCAGGCACCCATTTTCTTGCAGCCCCGCCTGGGCTCTCTCCTCCTCTCCTAGGCGTCAGCTCCCATTTTGCAGAGGCTGGCTCTGTGCTGTCTGAGCTTGCTCCCTGACGTGTTTGCTCTGCCTCTTTAAGAATTCCCTTCAGAGTCCCATCACACGTGGAACTTTACAAATGAATTATCTGAGCACAGGGACTGTTCTCCAGGCTGAGTCAGCCTGATGCTGCACGCATAGTAGCAGACACTTCATCGGAAGACGGACTGAGAGCAGGAAGGTGGGCTCCTGGCTTTGCTCCCTTCCTCTTGCCCCTCAGCCTCCCAGAACCTCTGAATCTGTCCCCGAAGAGCCAGGACCTCCCCACCTCCAGGCCTCCCATCCCACCCTCTTCCCCTGCTTAACTCCTGCGAGACTCTGCTGAGATGCGGCTCTTCCTAAAGCCTTAGGACCCCTGTGCTAGGTCAGGACCCTCCTGGTGCCCAGAGTCTCTGTGGAGCCCTTGCACTGTCACGCTGGGTGGTCGCCGCTCAGCAGGCCAGTGGCCCACTGGACCATCGGTTTCCAGACGGCAGGACTGGCGGTGGTGCCTGTGGTTCTCCACCCGGCTAAGGCCCCAGAGCTTCTGATTTAGAGTCCAGTGGGCTTCCCCGGTCACTCTAGTGGTAAAGAAGCCATCTGCCAATGCAGGTTAGACGCAAGAGTTGCAGGTTCAATCCCTGGGTCAGGAAGATGCCCTGGAGGAGGGCACAGCAATGCACTCCAGTATTCTTGCCTGGAAAATCCCACGGACAGAGGAACCTGGCGGGCTACAGTCCATAGGGTCTTACAGAGTCAGATACGACTGAAACGGCAGCATGCATGCAAGGAAGATAGCAAGCCCAGGCGAGGGGGACACCAGCTCCAGTCTTCCAGGAAGTCCCCCAAAACCTAGCTCCCAAGCTGGAATCTTCTGGCCAAAACAAGCTCCCTTCGAAGATGGGAAGGTGCTAGAGTGACCCGCTGCAGCCTCATTCCTTTTACAGGGACCCTTCCCAGGCCCAGCTGTTGTTGGTTTCTTGCCCAGGGAAGGGGATGAAGTTTGTGGCCTCTGAATCATATGCTGTTGCGCCTTTGATAGGGACTAGAAGACTTCTTTTCCCTCTGAAGGAAGGGTCTGCTCAGCAAATCAGTGGTGCATCGGGATGTGGGGCACAGGGTGGAAGGAGGCACCTTGCTTAACCTATTTGAGAGGTCCATTTATAATCAGCAATATCCAGCTGCATGCTGATAATTAATGCATGCCTGCCCTTCCAAACAGTTCTCTTTTCATTAAAGTTGTCCCCATGGGGCCTCGGCTTGGCAACACTTTCCCAGCTGTTGGTATGAGCTACTGTAAGTGCCGAAGGTGAATAAAACAGGATGACTTTAAAAGTAATTCAAACATTTTATAAAATTTGACACTGATATTCCCCAAACAGGGAACAGATCAGATCTTGAAATGTGAGTTTGGGCACAGAATTTTGAAGTCATTTGAGTCATTATTCAGCATAAAAAATATGAGGCCTTTCTGGCTCCATCACCCTTAGATCTGAGACGCTGCACCCCAATTTCCTCCTCTATAAATACTCCTGCTTTCCTCCAGGACTTAAAGAGGTAAGAGAGGGTAAAGCCCTTAGCACTGGGTCTGGGATGAATTTGGTGTTCCAGAAAGAATAGTGGCAGGAGCTATTAATACATCATTGATGTTTTTAACACAAAGGTGCCTTGGGAGAGTGGAAAGGAAATTGACTTTGAAGTCGAATCTTCTGTAGTATGACTTTGTGCCCATTATTTCTCTGGCCTCATTTTCTCCATCTTTAAAAGGGGGCTAAGCATATCTATCCTGTCTTGATGTCCTGGTGGTCAAATAAAATAATGTCCATAAAGCAATGAGTAATAGGTTGGGAGGGGTTGGTGGATTTTTGTCATTAGTATTTTAGAGATAGGGTCTTCCCTGGTGGCTCAGTGGTAAAGAATCCACCTGCCAATGCAGGAGACGTAGGTTCGATCCCTGGGTTGGAAAATTCCCCTGGAGAAGGAAATGGCAACCCACTCCAATATTCTTATCAGGGAAATCTCATGGACAGAAGAGCCTGGCAGGCTACAGTCCATGAAGGCGCAAAGAATCAGTCACAACTTAGCAACTAAACAACAACAATAAATTTTAGAGATAAGGGGAACCAGGCCCAGAGAGGGTAATGTCATGCCTAGAGTCACACAGGATGTGTTCTCAAAGATGACCTCACTGGGGTCCTTACCCTAGAGTTCACAGACACCTCAAAGTTGCATGGATGGGTTAGAGAGTCCCAGAATGCAAGGTTGTGAAGTTTTTGTATTTCTTCTGGGGCAAGTTTCAGAAGTTTTCATTAGGTTCTCAAATAGGCCACTGTCCTAATTTAATCCCCTTCACTTCGCAGGTGGAGAAACCAAGTTCTACAGAGCACAAGGTCACAGGGCAAGTCACAGACAGACCAGGATTCTGCAGAGAGCAGAGCCATTAGATGAAGGCTTCTTCCTCCCTGCTCCAGGAGGCCCTGGGTGTCCACTACCTAGGCCCTGGTTTTGGGAAACAGTCCTGCTTAGGTTTCTTAGAAATGTTTAAAGTCTGTTCACATCTGGCTGCAGAGTTGACTCCAATCCTTTTCTCACACTGGGAGGTTCTCAGGGGTCAGCTGGATTTGGGGGGGAACTTGGGCAGCAATCCCACATTTTTGAGAGGTGAGACAGGCAGCACCACCCTGCCCAAGTAATAGTGACCGTGTTGGGGTTGGGGGTGGGTTTTCAGCTTGGGGGATCCAGGGTGGTGAGCCTTTGGGGCCCGGGGGCAGGCACTGGGTAAGGGTCTGTGGTGAATGCTAGGTGCTTGTGGGACACTCAGGAGGGGAAGCTCAGCGGAGGTGCAAGCTCACCATAGTTTTAGGAGGGTCCAGATCTTCTGATAAGGACCATGGCCTTCTTACTTGGCTTGGCTGGGAGTTACTGCCCGAGTTTCAGATCCCATCTCATCTCTTTTCCTGCCACCTCAGAATCATTCTCTGGGACACCCAGCAATTTGCTTTTCCGGCTTCTAAACCAGCCTGCCTTCCTACCCCCAGCCCCCTCTTATTTTTAATCCACAAAGCTGCTTCTGCAAATAATAGCACACACCACCAGGTTTGATTAATTAACTGCACAAAAATGATGGGGAAACCAGTGAAGGAGATAATTATGCAAAACAGAAAATGTCAGATTTACCAGCTAGTTTTCTTCCCCTTCTGTATGCTGAGGATTGGGTAGGGGGCTCCTTTCCTTTTCCCTGGAGCTGCTTGGTGAATGAGGGGCTCCCCAATAAGTCCTGCTCACAAAGGTCAGGAGAGAGGCCGGGAGGAGCTGGGGGCAGGAGGGCGGCATCGCTGGGGACACACTTGATGGGCGGATAGTCAGCTCTTCCCAGGTGTGCTTGCTGATAGATGCTCCTTCCTCCGGGCCCTCAAACACCCCCTCGCACCTGGCTCCAAATCAGGCCCATTTCTTTTCGTCCTCCCAGCCTGTAGGCTGTCTCTTACTTGGAATGTTAAGAACTGGGGTTTGAGGTGGGAGTAGGCAGAACAAACATCTTGGCCAAATTTCCCAGGTCCACCAGGACTGGCCCACCCTCGGAGTTAGAGGAGTTCTGGGTTGCCCCTGAAGACCCCCGACTCCTGCAATGGGACGATCCTAGGGCTCCAGGAGGCGCACTGAGTTTGTTCTCCATCTTTCTACAGGGAGGGCCCGCCCAGAGCACGGCCCACTGGAGTCCAGGACCTGGCCCCACCCACAGCGCCCGCCCCCTCACCCGTGTGACCCTGAGGCGCCGTCTCCGGCTCAGCTCTCAGCTCCCTGGGGCCAGGGCGCTGGCTCACCTCCTGCCCGCCTCGGCGTCGCGGTAGTCCTCGATGGCCAGCCGGAGCTTGCGCCGGTGCAGCGAGCTACACACGCCCAGGCCCAGCTCCAGGTCCTCGTCGCTCAGGCTCAGCAGCACCTGTGCCCAGGAAGCGGGGATTGAGCGCCGAAGGGACGCGTGGGAGAGGGGACCCAAGGAATCCCTCCCCGCGGTCCGGGAAGAGCTCTGCAGGCGCCTCGCCAGAGGACTGCTGCTCCGGGAGGCGGTGGAATCCCCGAACGGGCTGAAAAGGTGCTCAAGTCCAGCCCTGCCTCCCTCCAGTCAGGTAAGGGGAAATTAGTCCCATTTTAAAGATGAGGAAGCTGAGGCTCGGAAGAGCTATGTGCCTTGTTGGAGAGACAGTGATTTACTGGAGTCACTGGAGCATGAAGTCGGTTCAGCCAGCTCCTGTAACCCTGAGGACGGGATGGGAGGGGGTGGGGATCCCCACGGGGGTCCTACCTTCCCACTCTTGACGTTCTCTGCGCAGGCCTTGACGTACATGGGCATGGCCATGACTACCTCCAGCCAGGCCTGGACGGTACCCGCCTTCCAGTGGGACATGGGCGTGGTCCTGACCAGCTCCACCTGCTGCAGCCGGTCCATTTGCTCCTCGCCCTCCGACAGGCTGAGGCTCTGCCGCGTGGGGCTGCACTGGCTGTCGGAGTCTGCAACACACAAGCACACAGGGCCGTGTTGGGGAGTGGGGTGAGGGGCAGGGCAGGCTGCCCCTTCTGAGTACCCCCCCAGTGTCTTCCCCACCCTATACGTTTCTTCTTTTCAGAATCAAAATGGCTTTTGCTTTGTTGTGCTGCCCCCCCCCCCCCCCCCCCGGACAATAGTAACCTATGCCCTCTACAAGGAAAAGAATTTAAAAAATTAAAAATCCAAGAAAGAATAAAAATAAAACAGAGAATCACCCCAAAACCCACACTACCCGGAGACAGCAGCTGCTGGTATTTAGTTAAATATTCTTTGGGATACACAGATGCCTACACTTCCTCCAATTAAAAAGTAAATAAATAAATTAAAAGTCTACGGGGCTTTTGCTTTGCTTTGAAAAGAACAAACTGGCTTTATTAACCTGTGCTTAATCTGACTACATATCCTCATAAAAAATAAACAGCATTATAGCCACTGGGGGGAGAAAAATGCCCACGTTTACAAACACACACAGATGCCCACATTTACATGGTCCATCCTGTTTTGTAATATGCTGTTCTCATTTACACCATGGAGGACATCCCTCTTTCTCAGCAGTGATCTGTAATATCTTTTGACCACACAGGATTCGTGGAATGGATGCTCCATAATCTATTTCACCTGCCTCCTGTCGGTGGGCCTGGTTGTCCCTCATTTTTTACTACTGTAACCAACACAGAGACAGTCATTTTTGGGCTACTGGGTGATTCATATTTTTAGGATAAATGGAGCACCAGCTCTATTCCTGTACACAGTGAAATGTGTTTCTGGAGTGGCCCTCACAGGCAAAAATATCTTTCTACCAGCATCTTGCAGCTCCATTCCTCAATCTATGGTCAGCTGCATCAACACTTGATAAATATACCAAGTTCAGGTGGTGAGGAGTCAACAGAGCAGGGAAAAGAATCTTTTTCCAAAGCATGGTTAAATGAAAACCCAAATGGATAAACTCAATACTGTGAGAAATGACAAATATTAAAAAATAAGCCTGATTTGAAAGGACCCTATATTGTATATTATAAACCATTATAACAAGGTAAAAATTACATAGCCATCAAATCAGACACATAGTAAAACAATCGGTGTGAAAAGCACAAAAGTGTTATAGTTACTGAGTTTGTATGAGATTATTTCCCTCCTGCTGTACCTGTAACAATGGCAACCCACTCCAGTACTCTTGCCTGGAAAATCCCATGGACGGAGAAGCCTGGTGGGCTACGGTCCATAGGGTCTCGAAAAGTCCAACACGACTGAGCAACTTCACTTTCACTTTTCACTTTCACGCATTGGAGAAGGAAATGGCAACCCACTCCAGTGTTCTTGCCTGGAGAATCCCAGGGACGGGGGAGCCTGGTGGGCTGCCATCAATGGGGTCGCACAGTCAGACACGACTGAAGTGACTTAGCATCAGCATCTGTACCTCTAAGTATCGTTAAAGTTCCGTAATAAACATATATAATTTATAATGAAAAATATAGAAACATTTAAAGACTAGAAAGCAGTATAAATGGTTATGGATGAAAGTTTAATCTGAATGAATGATACTTCATTTGTATGTTGGAATATAGGCAATTCATTGAAAAACCTGTCATGGGAATATTTTTTATATGAGAAAATGTGCACAATCTATTGCAAAATGGAAAAGCACAGTACAAGATAGCAGGTACAACATAATCCCAACCACATTAAAATATGTATGATAATATATATAACGTACATATAATACATGTGTTAGTCGCTGAGTCGTGTCTGACTTTTTGCAGCCCTGTGGATTGTAGCCTGCCAGACTTTTCTGTCCATGGAATTCTCCAGGCAAGAATACTGGAGTGGGTTGCCATTCCCTTCTCCAGGGGATCTTCTGTACACAGGGATTGAACCCAGGTCTCCTACGTGGCAGGCAGATTCTTTACCGTCTGAACCACCAGGGAATCCTAATAATTATGTCTATATAATATATACACATATATCATATATTACATTGTATTAGATGGTTAAATGCTAAATGTCTTTATCTCTGGAAAGGGATGATGGATATTTGTGAGTAAACATGTGTGTGTGTGTGTGTCATGAACTTGTGAATGTGCCAGAATGTGTGTGCATATTTTTCTGTTTTCCAAGTTTTCTGCATTGGCTATATTACTTTTGAAATTGAAAAAAAAACCCACAGGCTAAAGACCTTACTTTCTCAAGTCACAAAGCCCCTTCCCCCAGTCCCTTGCCTCCCTCCACTGAAATGCCTTGGACAACTCTTGGGGAACTGCAGCTTGGTGACCATACCCACCTCCCTCATCCCAGCTCTACTGAAACCCTTCTCCCCAACACCTAACTGCCCAGCTAAGAGCCCTTCGGGGCCCACAGCCACCTGGCCTGGAAGATGCCAGGCTGGTCCAGCAGGGTGCCAGGCAGAACGAACTAACGAAGGGTGGGCAGAGGTGGTGCCTCGTGCCTCAGTGTCCATCTCTGCACGTTGTCGTGATGCTGCTCTCTGCTGCCTGCCTCCTCCCCTGGGCTGCTCTGCAGACTCAGTGACAGTGGGGCTGATGGGGCCTTTCTACACTGCATAGACAAGGGTGAGAGGTCATTGCCACATTACTGTATTTCCTTTCTCAGGCAGACAGAAGGTGACCCTGCAACCCCCAGCCCCGAAAACAGCAGATGGTACAGACTCGGTGCAGGTCACCAATTTGAGCACTCTTGTTGCCATAGCGCCGGGGAATGCAGAAACAGCGACTGCCTCTGCAACCTTGCCTGGGAGGCTCCAAGTCCCTGCCTGGCTAGGGGCCTCAGCCTAGGTGTTCCCTTCCCTCCAGCTGGGCCCCCAAGGACAGGTTTGACTGGCAGGGAAGGCTTTCTGGTTGGGTGTACAGGTGCTGACCACTGGCATCCAAACAGTGTGTCCTCCTGTTAGCTAGACCTGAGAACCTCTGCCTTATTCCTGTATTGGAGTCATGTCTCTGTTACATGTTTCTGGGGAGATGAGAGACCTTATGTGGCTGAGACTGGTTATCCCAGATCCCAAGACACAGCCCATGTTGTCTATTTGGACCAGCCCTGTGGGAAGAGACTGGGGCTTCCCCAGTGGCTCAGGGGTAAAGAATCCACCTGCAAAGCAGGAGACAGAGCAGATCTCTGGGTCAAGAAGGTCCCCTGGAGGAGGGCATGGCAACCCACTCCAGTATTCTTGCCTGGGAAATCCCATGGACTGAGGAGCCTGGAGGGCTACAATCCACAGGGTTGCAAAAAGTCAGACAAGACTGAAGCGATTGAGCATGCGGGAAGAGACTAGGCTTTGGAGTTGGACAGACTTTGGTTTTAAGCAAATTCGTTTACCTCTTGGACCCTCAGTTTCCCCACCTATAAAATGGGAATAATAATAATATCTACCTCTTAGGTTAACATGACTATTATAAATTCTGAATATGAAGCCATAGTAGACACTCAGTCAAGGTGGCTATTATTGGTAATAAAGGGCTTCTCCCTTGGGGCTTGGGCAGGTGTTTTTTTTTTTTTTTTTTTTTTTGGCTACACCTGGAATTTGGCAGAGTTGCCTCCATCCCCTTGTATTCCTGGGATGAAATGTGGTTTGAGTTCAGCTCAGGTGCTTAGGGAGGGAACCTAATTTCACTTCTTGCACTTGGGCAGAAGTTCATTGTCCTGGTTAGTCAAGCCTGGTCCAGGTGGGAGGGGCAGGGCTGTCTGTGATGGGAGGGGAGGGTTTGTGGATTCTGTGCTGAGGTGGGCAGCTGGGGGTGTGTTTGCATAGCTTGGTTATGTGTCCCCAAGTAGGGGAGATCAAAGGGCATAGGAAGGGGAAAGACAGGAGAGAGAACGGAAGAGAGACTCAAAGAGCAGAACTTCAGGAAAGAAATAGTGCCACGGAACACAAAGACAGCAAGAGAAACAGGAAGAAGGAGAGACTGATAAGTGGACCAAAAAATAAAAAAGCAAATTTCCGGTGTGTGTGTGTGTGTATGTGTGTGTACACACTTGTGAGTGTGTGTTTTCCTGAGCTTGATGTGTTTTTGTGAGTGTGTGTTGGTGATTCTGTAGCTAACAGGCCTCAGGCCTGTGCAGGGAGCTGGCTTTTCAATTCACATTATTTATGGAGTTCAGGCTCGAGGAATGCCAGAGGCCAAGCTGGGTTCATATAAGCAAAACCACACATTTTGGTTTCTGAGAAACCAGCTATTCACCAGCCCTCCTCTTTCACCCCCTCCCTGTTCCCATCACCAGGACTGATCACCAGGGAGAAGATGCTACAGAAGGATGAAGGGTTGGGGGAGGGAATCTTTGTGGCCATAAACCATTAATTAAAGGCAATTTCCAAAATGTAGGCATTATGGTGCCAGATTTTATGTCTGGGATTCCATCAATCCTGGCCTTTATTTCCCCTCTCTCTCAGCCCTGAGAGTGGGAATAACTCATGTTTATAGCCAGGAGCTCAGTGGAGGCTACAGAGTTACAGGGACTGGCCAAGCCCCTGGCAGAATCTGAGGAAGTACCACCAAAACATAGCCATTCTGGATCCTTCTGAACATTGGGAGGGCCATGGTGGTTCTGGAAAGAGAGGGTCTCCTCCCTCCAAACACTCCCGACACATGCACACACCACAGAACATCAGCAATTAGTCATTGAGGTCTCCCTGAACCTGGGCATCCAGAGGCCCCATTGTGTTAGCCTAGCACAGGGGTTGCAGACCACAGCCCAAAGGCCAGATCCTGCCCTCTACCTGTTTCCCTAAATGAAATGCTATTGGGACAGAGCCACGCTCATTTGTTTACACATTGTCTAAGGCTGCTGCCCTGTTGGGGCTTCCCAGGTGGCTCAGTGGTAAAGAATGTGCCTGCTGATGCAGGAGACACAGGTTCAATCCGTGGGTTGGGAAGATCCCCTGGAGGAGGAAATGGCAACCCACTCCAGTATTCTTGCCTGGAAAATCCCATGGACAGGGGAGCCTGGTGGGCTA